AGACAATAGCAGGACGTGAGCAGGTAATGTCACTTTTCCGTCAACTAATCCCGACATCGGTGGACAAGTGCATGTCGGCGATAAGTGTGCAGATGAAAACGGAGACAAGCAACGAGTCTGCCGGTGTCTGTCATGTGACGGACCACAATATACGGGGAAGATGTGGTTCCTTGCGTGGGTGGAACTTTCATAGAGGTTCTATTGGATACTGAAGCCACGACTAACCTGATTCGAAGTGAGGTACCTCGAATCTAAGAAACGAGCCAGAGAAACGTGCACACATGGGTCATTAGGAGACAGCAGACGGAAGAGGGATGGATGGCGACGGGCCAATCACAAAAAGACTGAATTTAGGAGCGCCTGACTGTGACAAAGGGACGTTAGTGGCTTACGAGCTGAAAACCCAAATGATACTTGGGCTGCAATTAATGAAGGACTAAAGGTTCTCTGGACTTTAGTGTTGACAGTTTGTGAACTGGCTTGATGGAAAGGTCTATTTTTCCGGTGCGGTATGTGACTCCCAAACTGGTTTAGCCTCCAGCAGGGTGAAGGATCACGAAGGAGAGGGTATCCACTGGGAACAAGCACCATCTGAGATAGCCTCATTGCAGAAACAAGACAAAGTTTTCGCTCAAGTGTCCTATAGGGCGGAGTTATCCCACGAAAGGGGGGTAATGCCGTTGCTCGTGATGAACCTGAGAAAACAGGCTATCCAGAACGGACCCGAAGTGCTGACATACTGATCTATTTGGAAAAAATGAGTTTAATTGGCAGAACGTTTTCGACAGTCTGCAATCAATGAAATTGAGGTGGAGGACAACTCCCATTTGAGAAGACTCTGGCTAAATACGGAAGACGTTTTGGTGACCAACTATAAGGCTGGACGTTGACGGAATGATTAAGTGGTGCCCAAGCCGTGCACGCAAGTGTACGGAAGTGAAGCAGAAGCGAGCAAATGGCAAGGTTCTATTTGATCTGGGGATCAGATTCAGCAAGCTGGCTATTGCTTTCTTGGAACCGTTGACAATGGCGACGCGCACCAGAGCGAAGCATGTGATTGTAATGACGGACCTATTTGCGATGTAAACGATTGTAGCTCTCGTGTTTTTATTGTGTTCTGCTGATGTAGCTCATGAGATAGTGGAAAATCAGGTGCTGAGGTTCTGCGCTCCCAAAGTCATGTGCACAGATCACCAAGAACTAACTTTCAGCGTCAAAATGATCCAAGAGCTATGTCAACGTTTGGGTATTGATCAAACTCACACACACTTCTCCCTAAAATCTCAAGGTAACAAACAGTCGGAAAGGCACAAATAAAATGTTATTTTGAAGTATTTTGCGGAGAATCGAAGAAATTGGATCACGAAAATGCTAAAAATTGATTCTATCTACAAAATCACAATCAATCGGAAAACAGGAGTTACGCCGCTCAGTGTGATGCATGGACAAGAGTGTCAGTTTTCAGTTGAACTGCACTACGCAAAAACTCACCACGTTGTATTGATGAAGGATGGCTTTGCGAACTAGATTGATAAATATTTCCGAGATGAACACAGCAGCGCGTGAGAATTGTTTTGGAGATACCAGGGTCGACAAAATGATCAATACTGAAAGAAAAAACAAGGGGAACCCTAGGCGACTTGAGACAAAGACTGGATGTGCTCAAAAGAAAAACTCAAGTCAAAGAAGACATTTGATCCGAGGGACAAACGATATGTTGTCACCACCAGGATGTCCGAAGTCAATTACAAGGAATCGAAATGGTTTAAACCGAGTAGAATGAACTTCCTGCACTTGAATATCTTGAAGCGTTTTGTTGAGGAGTCAGATCCGACAAAACCGCTCCACGAAGCTATCTACACCATACCGGTCAGCTAACCTATTTGATGACACAGAAGCCTATGACGAAGACTAGAATTTCTGGGGGAACAAACGCGAATGGTGCAACCAGGGTCCAGGACCTACTCAAGAAACCCCGAAAAGATTTTCACAGGGGAATCTAACGTTCGGTGAGCCTCAAGTTCATCCTGCAAAACAACCAAAATACCTCGATGACGCGATCGAAGAGAAGATGACACGGTAGTGACATACGACGCAAGGGAGATTGAAGCCAGAAGGAAGAAAAACCCGCAAAAATTGCAAGCGAAGCTAAAGGCAGACTCTAGAGACAAACATCAGCTGTTGTGTTAGAGGAAAGGCTAGAAACTACGGATGCGGCTCGACATAAATGGACACGTACGTCATCTGTATATTTTGAGGTTGCATAAAATCTGAGCTAAACTATCTTTAAAGAAAAGTGTTTAATTTAAATCATCATTGCTAGGTTTTATCTAAATGAGATCCCACATCTGTTGTTTTTAGAACTGTTGAGTATTCCGTCTACTTTTAGGAATGTTGGGTTGTACTAGGAAGAGAAAAATTTGAATCAGTCGTGTCTCATAGCTAGAATCCTCCTACCCCTTTTGTGCTTGCTAGTCGAAGATTATATACAACAAGGGGACTGATTGATGGGGCCAAGAATACGTTTTAAGAACTGTAATGCGAAAACTAGGAAGGTTTATTTTAAATTAAGCATTAGCAGGATGATAAGTTTTTGGACTGGTAAAAAGGAAGAAAAGATAAAAGTAAGATTTTTCTAGTTGTTAAGGAAGGTCAAGCTTAACAGTGCAGGATAGTAGAGTTAGCAGAGCGGTTAGTTATATGAAGCTGAGTCTAAGTTAAGCTGTTAGCAGCTTAGGTAGTTTAAACGCTGTTAGTTCAAATTAGTTCAAGCATTACTGGCGAAGATAAAAGACTAGAGGGGGAGAATGTAGATATGTATATTCTAATGTATACTCGACTATCTGTAACTTCGTCTTAGATCGCCTTACTTTGGATTTACAGAGTGATAAAATTTTGTGCAACGCTAGTTTGTAAGCACAGTGGAAAAATTATTGATTAAAGTAGACAAATCAGAACAATCTGAATGTTGAATTTATTCAAAGTTATATTTTGGGGAAAAATTGTGAAAAAAACACAGTTACATTAGCATACTAGAGTGCACGGAATTGAAATAGAAAACAGTTGGGAAATTTGGAAGCTCAAAACGAAGTAGTTAACCACAAAAGGGGCCTTCCCCCCCCCCCCCCCCCCAGGAGTCAGAAACGCCAATGGACTATTTTTACGAAAATCTTGGATGGTGTTTAAGTTAAGATCAATTGGTTTAGAGGTGAGATTGGACGTGATTTTTGCACAATTCTGTTAGTAATACTTAAGGTTAACTTGGTATTTGTAACTAGTGATGTCACGGATAACTCGGTTGGAACCTTATTCAACGGTAGCCGAATAAACGACAGGACTTGTATGGACGATCATAACTATAAATGTAACTGAAACTCAAATGAGCGAACGTAGCGGAACAAATAGTAATGAGTTAGAGTATAGCTGGTTCTCCTCATAGTTAGTTAGAAAACAAGTTACGCTAGAGGAGCAAACTTTTGGTTCTCTGAGTCAGAGAAAATAGTTGGACCTTTGTGGGAAATTGATTTTTTCAAGTGAGTGTGGTTCCGTTGAGTTAAAGATTTCTCAAGAATGAGGGATTGTCGGTTGGATGAGCTATCAAGGATAACAAGAGGTTTAAAAATTAGTTAGTAGTAACGGAAGTTGAGTTGCAACCAGGCAAATGTGCTGATTAATTGCGGAAAATTTCCTTTTGGTTAGATTCTGCTTATATTCGGGCCACTTAAGAGACCCCTGTATCTGGATTTGTACTGTATTGAATTTAATTACAAGTGGAAAATCTTGTGAGCAGCAATAAAACTCTCAATCACCCCGCTAAATTCAGTGCACAAAGGACTGCTTTTGCGATGCCGGCAAGTCAGAGAGAACGGGCCCAGTAGCAATCCCCTAAATCTACTCATGTTTCTAACGTACCCACCCCCGGATTCGCTGGAACTTTAGAAAAAGAATGAGACATTTTTCTTAAGCTGTGGGGTAAATGTTTTTTTTTTCAAAAAAACTTACGCCAAATTAGGGTATAATTTGTTTCTTTAGAGCGAGACGGGCAAGAATTTTTGAAATTTTCCTGTTTTGTCCTGCCATTCACTTAGTTTTTTGTTAAGTCCGTCCTAGATTTTGTTTTGAACATATTTATGGGTAATCCTTTTAGGAAGACCTGTATAAAAATCCTGTATAATCTTATGACTCTTCTCCCGGGTCGAGATCCTGCTCAAAAACCGCTCAAGATTTGAGCGGTTTGAGCGGTTTTCCAGCAAGATTTGAGCGGTTTGAGCGGTTTGGGCGGTTTTTTTGGATAAACCGTTCAAAAACCGCTCAAACCGCTCATTTTGAAGCAAGATTTTGAGCGTAATTGTCTAAAAAAACCGCTCAAACCGCTCAAATCTTGCTTCAAATTAGGTGAAAAATCTCGACTCGGGTAGTTATAGTTATTTAAGGCTCTCTTGTTCGTCGGCTCTCTAGCCCTAAACCAACACACCGATTTGACCTTTGACCTTATATAAATACAAAAAACTGTAGAAATCCGACACCCCTCGTGTCATTAGGTTCTTCAGCCTATTTGAGGTCAGCGATTTGTCTGTATTTTCATGTCATTGCAATTTATTGATCAAACGCCATTGTTGGTTAAACCATATAAGCTGATGGTTTGTCTGCAGAGCTGATGTGTTAATAGAGTAATATTTCCATCAGTTTGAGACAAACACAGCTAATTTCATAACTCATATAATTCATAACAGTTTTGGGGAGTTTCAATAAGAAACAATTCAAGACATCTAAATTGTGTTTAAGTGCGTTAATCACTAGTTGGATCAAAACTTTTACTAATTACAGACTTGCAAATACGTTGGTTCTCAAATGCAAGGGTCTTTAATTGTTTAATGTGTTTTAAGTTATTATGTACAAAAGGAAATGCTTTGATTTGGTCAACATTTACCATCAACTAATATTCAAAGGTCAATCATACTGCATACTCTGTCATTTCAACTTTTGAATTTATGTTCTACAATTTGTTACAACTTGTTACAATTTTTTTGAAGGCAGAAAACATTGCAAATAGTTAATGGATTTTTCTCCCAATTTATCTCCAAAAGTAACAGAAATCAAACAATTATATTTTCTCCGGTACTTGGAGTGATGGGTGGGGGTTGGATTGTTGTACCGACAAGCTCAATATACATTTTTTTCTAAAAATGAACAATAGCAAAGACGGTTTTTGGACAAAAAAATTTGAATGAGCTTTTAAAAAAATGCATGAAAAAAGTTGATACTAAAAATTTTACTCAGTGTCGAGAAAAACTCCTTGAGATTTGAGCTTTTTAGTCTAAATTTGAGCAAGTGAAAGGAGCGAGTATCGATTGTTAGTTAAAACTTGGTCATTTAAGCCGTTGACTAATCTAACTTAACTCCGTAAGCATTTTTGGTCATAAAAAAGTTTCGCACCTATTCAAAAAATGTGGCGAAATTAGAAAACGTTTTCTACAACTTTTGCATTGATTTTTTCTAAAACTTTTTTGCGACTAGGTTAAATTCATTAAGTATCTAAGTTTTTGCCTTTCCTCGTTTCTAATCTTTTTTCTAAAGCATCTCCACATATCAGAAGCCACGTATCAAAAACTATCCCAGAAAAATGGCCGAAGTTGTACAAAAAGAATTTTTTAGGTGCAAAAAGCAGAAAAATGAATCTGCACCAAAATCTGCTCGAAACATGGTTTTTACAATTTATGTTAACGAGGCTTGAGATTTGTCCCAATTGAACAGCTGTGCAGATACGATATCTAACAGCCAAACAAAATGTCAAGTTGAAATTAGGTTTTTTGCTAAATTAAAACTAAAAAAGGTCAAAATTGGTTAGAACTTACCGGAATTTAAATTTTCTAGGTTTGATCAGTTTTTACTGAAAATCTTGAATTGCGTTGAAATCTTGTCCACCGTTTTCAGAATTTTATCAAAAATAACTTCTTTGTTTTCCGAAGGAATATTAACCTTGGGACATTAACGGCGTTAAATTGCAAGCAGAATTTTCTATTTAAAAATGCAATTGAACTGTGAAATACGCTGTGCACAACAACTAAGAGTTTTATAGTGAATAAAAAAATTGGTAGCAATATAAGTGACCTTGAACAAAATACTCGATCAAAAATTGAAGCACCGATGAAAGTAATTTTTTTGAAAATATTTTTTACGTGTGGGAGTCCGACGCCAAAATGAGCAGTTGTAAGTTTATAGCCATTTTAATCCATTGTTTCCAAGTGAATTCATTGCAAGAATGACCTTCACTTGGAAATTAATTTGTTCGGATTCGTTGACCAAAAAGCCTATTGTCAACAATTCGGCATTAACTATAATCGGGCATCAGTTTAGAGTTTCTTTTTTGAATACAAATGGATGATTTAGACTATTCGGACAAAAAACTCTTTGTTCTCAAATTGGTTTGATTTTAGCCAGAGAATAAGGGCAACAAACCTTGAATAAAACTTTGGCAGAAATTATTATTAGACAGTTTATTTTGCGAAACTCGTGCGCGAGCTTATACCAAATCAATTATGGTTTTTAGCCGAAACTACTAGTTCAAGTGCTGACAAAACCATGCCACAATAAGCGTCGAATGTAGCTCAACTATTTTTTAATTTGCAGAACCTTCACAATTTGGTAAAATAAAGTCTTTTTGTTTGATAGTCAAAATAGTCATTTTTTCAATATAAATTTTCATTTTTTTAAACCCAAAATTAATTGTTATGCGCCAGTTTTATAGATTATACTCTTCTAACACTTTGTTGGACTAAATGATTGGCTCAATTTAAAATAATTTTATCAACAATAACTCATTAGCTCGGGCGTAATTTTGATTGACTAAGATTGACTTTTGTTCTTACCATTTTTGTCTAATAAGACAGTAACAAATCAATAGTAAGACCCAAAAAAGTGAATTTGTTGGTAAGTTCGACCAATTTAATCGTCAAAAATCATAGCGTTTTAGGTTATTTTTTTAAAAATGGTGTTACTTGTAAGGAACTGAAGTTTGACTTCAGATTAAGCTATTTTAGGTTGATTAGCTTTGCTTACGTTCGTTTCGTTGAATGAAAAGTTTGCTTCCGTTCTTTTGTCCGAAAAAAATACACAAAATTTATACTGTTGAACTTTTTCGACAACATTGATTTGCCGTACACTTTTTCAAAGCATGAGATATTTCAAAAACAATCGCATAAAAACAGAAACACAAAATTAAGATCAAGAATTTTTTTCAAAAAATTGAGAAGCTGTCTAATAAATTTGATAAAAACTATAATAATGTTATACAAAAAATTTATTAAAAAAACATGAAAAAGAGCGAATTTAGTAGTTTGCATCATAAGTTTTTCAGACAAAAACATGTCTCAAGGTGACTTGCAAACACAAAACTGCATTAAAAATGTATTCAAAGTTGGCAGACTGATATAATTTTTTTTCTGTTCCAACATTTTGCTCAACGCTATACAGAAACTTTTGGTTTGCATATAATTAGTAGCAAAAAACTTGGGACAGACACAATTAATTAAAATGAGCAATCAGTGCTATTCGTCGTTTTTTTACAAGCTAAATATGAAGCTGAACAACCTTGATTTTTTTGCCAGACTAAATTCAAAATGCGAAATAGTCAATTATCTCATGATTATGCTACGCTAAATTTTTTAAAAACTGCGATGAAAATGCAGATTTTACTATAAAACTATTAGGAAAATCAGTTAGACAATGTAGGTTCACCGTTTCTGATGTTTTACAAAAAAGAATATCAAGGACTTATTTTTAACAAAAGAAAAACAGATCAGGCTGCTACAAAAAAAATTAACGAAGTGAAGATGGCAACTTATTCAAAATTTGAAAAATTATCGCAGAAAATATTAGCAACCTTGAGCATTACTTTTCCTTTTTCAAGGTTTACTATTGACGCTTCGGATGCAATTGCCCGCCGTGCCTAAAGGTTTTGAGCGAAAACATTGCTTTATGAACTATCGAATATATGTTTATTTCAGTTTTAATTTTCGTTGATGTCTAAACATTTACTCTTTTTAATTAGTTCTGTCTGTCCGAACTTTTTGCAACTCTCTATACAAAGCTTGTTCAAACTTATCATTTTATGATTTACTAATTTAAGTTTCAGGACAATCTTTACGCAACGAGTTCTAAACTCACATTTTGTTTCTGTCGTTGAAAAATTTTTCAAGATTGTTGATATAGAAATCATACTTGGCAATTTTTCCAGCCCAGATTAAGAAAGCACAATGGTTAAACTCGTGAACTCTTTATTCAAACTCTCCAATAAAATTTTATCCGTATTTCCGCCATTATTTACTTTGACGCGTCTATGGTTCGGGTTTTTCATGGGAACAGCTTTTCTGCTCCCGACTTTGATTCTTCGATTCGGATTTAAGCGAATGCTTTTATCGTCAAATCCGAAAAGATCTCGAACGAAGACCAAGTACGACTCGGATCCGGATTGCAGTTCTGAGTTTGAAGAGTCGGGTTTTGTGACTTCGGACGGAGTTGTTATACACTTTGTTTCAAAGGGAAACCCGAACGGCGAAGTCATTTTGTTCCTTCACGGGTTCCCAGAATGCTGGTATTCCTGGAAACACCAAATCGATTTCTTCTCCGAGGAAGGTTACCGAGTTGTTGCTATGAGTCTTCGCGGATACGCTGAGAGCGGAAAACCGAAAGGAAAAGAAAATTACGAAATTTCGAAACTCGTTCATGACGTGCAAGAACTGATCGAGTTCTTGAATGTTAACCAAGTCATTCTTGTCGCTCATGATTGGGGCGGAATTATCGCTTTTGCTTTGACGGCTGCTCACCCTCACTTGATTAAGAAGTTGGTAATTCTCAATGCTCCACATTCTGAAATCTTTCTTAAATTACAAGTCGAAAATTTGCGTCAGTTCTGGTCGTCATGGTACATTTATTTCTTCCAATTTCCATTTTTGCCCGAAATTGCGGTAAAAATGGGCGATTTTGCTTTTCTCGAACTATGCTTTGCCCCGTTACTCAAATCGGGTAAAATGAGCAAATCGGAGTTGGATTTGTTCAAATATTACGCTTCACAAGAGGGATCGCTGACAGGCATGATCAATTATTACCGAAATTTGACTTCAAAAAAAGCGAAAACGGAATTGAAGCGCTTTTCGAAGAAAATCGAGGTTCCAACTTTGGTGATCTGGGGCGAAAAAGACATGGGTTTAGTGGTTGAGAACTTGAAAGGTTTGAACAAATTTGTAGATGACCTCCAAGTGACCAGATTACCTGGGATTAGTCACTGGGTTCAGCAAGACGACCCGGAAACCGTCAACCGGGAAATATTTTCATTCATATGCTGAATCTGGTGTGAAAATAAAAACTTTATCAAAGGCTGCATATTTTCAATTCTATAAATTTATTGAAAAAGGTTACCGCAAAAATGAGCATGACCGAAAAAAAAATTGGAGAGCTTGATGCACTATTTGTGGGTTTTATTTGAGCAAAGTGGGCAAATGAGGCATTGAAAAAACTTGCAACCTTCTTTTTGAATTGATATCATGGAAACTAGATTTTAAGAGGCTGGTATAATAATTATAGAATCATAATTACATAAACAAAATAAACGGACCCTTGCTTGCAACTCTTCTGATTTTCTTTTCAGCGTGTGCAATGTCTGATTTTGACATTTAATTTACTTTATTCCTGTTTTTTCTTCAGAATGGGGTCGTTTTAAAAGAGGATGGTTCATCTTTGTAGTTAAAAAATTTGATTGTCACTGAAAACAAAATGTATAAAAAACACGATGACTTTAAACCAAAATGTTCTGGTAGACATCTTCGAGTTATCATCCGGAGTTGCTTAGCACAGTTGCACAGTTGCAGAGACATTCTGCCTCTGGTCTCCCACAGTCAGACGTAATGAATTGATTAGTTATAATGATCTGACATATTTTAAGAAAAGAAAAATGTCTCGGAGTTACTCAAAACACTTTGCTAGATAAAACATTGTACACTCAAAAGTTTGAAATAATTTTATGTTCAGGTTCAATTTCGTTGACTATATGAATATTTAAAAAACAAAAATAATTTGTTAAAAAACTTGACTTCCATTTCAGTTTACAGAAAAATGAGATAAAAAAAGGAAAAATTTATTAATTCTATAAATTTATGGAAAAACTAGAGTGCTCAATTCAAAGCAATCTTTTGAATGTCTATTTTTTTGAGGCATTTGAATTAAATTCAAGATATTTACTTCAGTAATGTTTTAGAAAACCAGTGATAAAAAATTCCTTTTTTCTTTTTACAAAAACAATTCACCACATCAAAAAGAAAGTACAAAGGGATATGATTAGCATATTTTATCACCCAAATAAGCGAGCCACAGCTCATTTTTTTTCTAATTTTAGGCTGGGTTATTTCACCGCCTCTATGAAAGAGTACGTTGAGCTTTCTACGCAAAAGCCTCATTTGATCAAAGCAGTCCCAAACATAAACACCCATAAGTTCACGAAAAAAGTCGTAGGTGAATTTTTTCTACATTTGAACTCTACTCAATGATATCTTGTAATTAATGAAGTCATTTAAGTCAAAACTGTCCAACTAAATTTTCAAAACAGGTATGAACAAAAAAACGCATTTCCCCCCCGGAAGATTGGATATTTAACCCGGAAAAACAGACAAAACTTTATCTTTGCTTGGCTTACAAATGGTTAAATTGTGTTTTTTTTTTGTATTTAAACTAACGAAGATCTTTCCCAATCAAGGATCGTCCAAGTGCCCTTTACCTTTTAGGATAAGTGGAGTATACAGTCCAAGCGTCAACATTAATTCCATGAACATTTTTTCATTTGGAGAAAATTAAAAAAGTAGATTATCTCTCGGCCTAAAGCTTATTTATATGAATAAAAACGCTCTTTTGAACGATTATTAATGTCATGACAGTCTGATTTTTTTAAAAAGTCTAACATCTGAAAGGTTATAAAAAGCACGAAGTGCTTGATTTTCAATGCTTAAAGCTTATAGAATTTGACTTCTCTTACATTAGGTGGCCAAACTGTGCATTGTAAGCGAAATTCGCAACAAGGACACTCCCTTTGTTCTTCTTTTGTTCTTTCCTTTTCTTTGAGTGTTCCGACAAAATTCTAACATGTTAAAGACTTGCCTACCCGCATCCAGTTTCAAGCGTTAATAATCGATTATAAATGAATTTTAATACCAGTCTTAATAAAATTGCGAAACAATCATTTTTAATTAATAAATATTTAATTAATAAAATAGTCTCGCTTTTCAAAATCCAATTACAATTAATTATATTACATTATAATCAATCATAATTGATAATTTATTCGTCTATCTTTCGATACAATTATAATCAATTATAATTGAATATAATCCATTCTTTGGCTATTTTCCAGCCCCCCCCTTTCAAATTAAATTTTGAAAAGCTTAGTTAACGTTGTCATAATGCAATGAAATTTCGCATGGTGAACAAATCGACAACTGTAAACAGATTTGTTCCTCATACTTTACAGCGTAAAATCACGCATTTAGCCGTAATAACACGTAAAACAAACATAAAACTCGATATTGTGAAAGGGGGGACTGGAAAAGAGCCCATTCTTTTTATTCAAATTTCTAATTCCTTAGTTTTACACAAACATCCATTATAATCTATTATAATTGTTTATAATCCCTTTTGTTTGTCCAGTTTGTCTTCAAAGTTGCATCTAAAATGCTTATAATTTATACTTTTTTGTAGACGTTGGTTCCTATGAAAAATGAGAAAAACATTTTTAAAAATTTGCAATCAATTCAAATGTATAAGGTTTTTTCTTTACTTCCCTGTTGGAGTTGTTTTGTGATGCATAGTTTAAAATTTTTTGACCAACAAATAATCAGCAAATCGATTTAGTTTCATGATTCAGTCGGAAGATTTATTTTTCATCTACCCCGGGTACCTTTCCACTAGTATAAAGGGATCTCTATGAAACTTTTGTTTCGTGGTAAAACTTAGTGTTCAGATGAACCAAAGGGTTCAAGAGATTTCTTTTTTTAGAGATTTTCTTATTGACAAAAAAAAAATAACCTATAAGATATAATTCAAATCCTGTTTTGGTTTGACAAAATTTTTCGCAAAATAGGAAATTATAATCGATTATAATCGATTATAATCGATTATAATTGATTTTAAGGGTTTTTTTAGAACTATAATCAAATATAATCGATTATCAGAGATTATAATCTCTTGGAAAATATCACGATTATAATCAATTATAAATCCTTTAAACACCTAATTTTGGTAATTATAATTAATTATAATTGTCAAAAAATCATCATAACAATCCGTTTTAATCAATTACCTACGCCTAAACTTGGTTGCGGGTACGGAATCCAGGAACATACAGACACAAAATTGTGCGCCTCTCCAGTGCACAGTTTGACCTCGTACTGGACTTTGAGTGCCTGATCATTTTCGCGTCAAAACTGCTGCTTGTTGTAGATCAATTATATTTCAATCAGATTAACAACCACTTTTTATTGATGTATATTATTTCATTTTTCAATTTTTTGATTAAATTTTTGTCATTTTAAAGTTACAATGAGTCAACAAGCGTAGACGTTCAACATACAAGGTACAAGCGTAGCGTTTTTGTCATTTTAAAGTTACAATGAGTCAACAAGCGTAGAGTCAACAAGCGTACCACCACGCCGTGCTTTTTCTGTCCTCTCCAAGTCCTATTAAGGACTAACTAGGGCTCTTTTTCTTTTTCCTCCACCTGCAAAATTTCAAAGTGAAACTTTGTTCACAACATCCGAATTTTACCAAAATTAGGTAAGCGAACTAACTAGGCAATGATAAACATATTTGGTTTACATGTTTAACCTTGTAAAACCCCTCGTTACGCCATAAAAATGATGCTTTTGTTACGTATAAGGGGAGGGGGGAGGAAAAAGAGCCCTAATTAGTTTGTTATTGAAACCAATTTGTCTATATTGAAAATGTTAACTTTGTTTTTCCTTCTTTTCGAAAATTTTACAAATTAACTGACAAAATTGATTGTCGCAAGAATATGCACTGGCTTGTGTTTTCATTTAGCCAAAATTCTGAAAGTAGAGTGCGTTTGACCACTCCCATTTGAATCCGCTATTGCTTTCCTTTTTGTTTATGCGGCAGAGCAGCAACAAAATAGTTAAACGACGGAGTGAAAGCAATTGCCCATGTTGTCAAAAATTACCCTGTTTGCAAAATTCAGCGGAATTTCAACGGCAAATGTACTGAAAATTGGCAGAAACACAACGCCAACACCAATCATGAAAGTTTTCAATTTATTTTGGCTTCTAATTTTCACTGGCGCAGAGCGAGTAATAAAATTTAGTAAGATCAAGTTAAGTTAAAACGAAGAACACATGTAAAATACAATAAATTAAAAATAAATAAATAAAATTATGGGGCAAATTTCATGTACTTCATTGTGTTAAGGTCCTTTAAAACAACATAAAACTTAAGGAAATGAGCTGCGAAAGTCTTGTGAAAATACGGTGTTGCTTTACCTTTAGCAGAATGTGTTGGGACCAAAACGATTCAAAAAAACTGGAGAAAAACAAAAAATAAAGTTGAAACTTGAATCGATTTTTTTTTACTTTGTTACCAAATGTTTCCAATTTTTTTTTACAAAGCGACGAATGATTTTTCCAAACAATTGCAAAAGTTAGACACAGTAATTGATGAAACAACCTTATAATTGTAATGTGAGTAGTTTAGTAGATCAAAGTTTCATCAAATTTAATCTGAAGTTTGGCCTAAGCTTCGGAAAGTCAAGGGAGTCAAAAGGATCGTGCAGTAGCCAGGAAGCCGCGAAAAACTTAGAACAAACAAAAAAGAACTAAGGTTTGCAGATTGAACTAAGATTTGTATCTATCCTCCTGATACTGTGAAGTATAATTCTCATGAGGGCTCGTGTTCTTTAACAAAAAACTTACCCAAATTTATAGAGTAACAATGATAGCCGGTTGCTCTGCAAGTAGCACAGAATGTTCCGACCACATTTTCGGAAAAAAAAACTGTTTTTCATTTTTTTCTTCAAGTTGGCGTCTTTTTTCACGTAGAGTGATGATTCAACTATTTGAACCCGTAGAAGTTTAGCAAATTAGGCATGAATAATTTCAATGGTTTTCAAAAAAAAATACAAGAATCCTGAAAAAAAAATTTTCAAAAATTTTTTCTAATTTATTTTTCCATTTTTCTTTGCACTGAAAAAAACAAAAATATTTTAGAAAGATATATTTTTGCGAATAAGAGCCTAATGAATCTTCCAACACTAGCTTTTTTATAGTAAAATCTTTTTTTTTAGCCAAAAAATTTTTTTTCGTTATAAATGAAAAATAGAAATTTGGGCTAGAAAAAACACTACTCGATCGCTTTAATTATTTAAAAAAGGACAATAAATCAAAAAATTCTGACCATTTTTTCTCCACGCTGGAAAATTTTGTTGGAAAAGATGTAAAATTGTTTGAATCGCGGCTATAAGGCTTTTAAGATGATATGTCACTCGACTCTTGACCCTGTCAAA